TTTCGAAATCTGTTTTCTGGCTAAAGAAAAGAAAATAGGATTCTACCGAGTCTCCTATCTACCTACTCCGGGAATTCTGTGAGGATCAAATGAGATGAGGCATGTGAAAACGCTTCACAGACATTTGGTTAAAGTGTAAAATGTTTGCACCTGGCTATAAAGCAAGTCGTGTTCATGGGCTGAAGAAACTCCAAGGAGGCTAGTCACTAGGGAGAAGAAGCCGGGCGTTGCTACATGATGTCATTACCCGCCACCTACAGCCACAGTTTCTGGGCTGGGCTGTGGGCCACATTTTGCACCATGGGGTCTCGGCAACATTGGCTGCGATTTGGTAGGCTGTCACTCTGGGGTGGTGGCAGGGCCTGTGTCCCACTTGGGGGAAGCTGAGTGTTGTTTTGTCAGTGCCAGGTCCACATTGCCATGTCTCATAAATGGCCAGTGTACATCACGGCAGCTCCTGCGTTGAGCGTCTGCCCGTTGGTGGTCAGTGTGTATAATAGCAACCAATTGGACGGTCAAGGGACACTTAGCATATTAGCCTTTTATATATATAGATATACAGGCATGTAACTATTATATGTATGTATGTAAAAAAGATTTATTGTGATTTTATAACTATTAATATAAAACATATACACAGAAGATCACAAATTATAAATGTATGGCTTGTTGGATTTTCAGAGTGACATGTCCATGAAACTTTTTCCTGGATTAAAAAATATATAGAATATTATTAACATCTCAAACAATTCTCCAGTGGTCTGACTTCACTGTCAGGCTTCACACACATTAGATTAGTTGGTTATTGAACAGAAGGGGAAGCTGTTTTATTGATTTGACATACTTAGAGAAAAGTGCAAAAATGGTAGTCTAGAACTTGATGAATTTTTACTGAACGAACATACCTAATGTTCTAGATATGGAACATTACCAGCACCTCAGAAAGCCTCCTTTTTGTCCACTCCTAATTGTTACCCCTCCCTAAATGTATCCACTATTCTATCATCACTGTGTTGGGTGTTTCCAAAGCCACCCCCATATTCAGAGATTGACTAGAAGGACTCGTGTGACTCAGTATATATCTGTACTACTCACAGATAAGACTTATTACAGCAGTGTAGTAAGAACACATCAGATCATAAGGGGAGAAAGACAGTGGAATATGGAGGCTGCTTTATGTTCTCTCCCTCCCTTGGTGGGGGAAGGGGAGTCACACAGAGCCCACTTCTCTCAGCAATAAAAATGCAGCAACATGTGTACCATGTTTCTGCCCATTAGAGACCCAGTGCCTGAAGATTTTATTGGAGTCTGGTCACATAGACACTCTGCCTAGCATATACTGAAATTCCAGACTCCCAGAAGGCAGGTTTTTTATATAAATCATATTGCTTGTACAAACAGTCTAGGCCAGGTGTCCTCAAACTTTTTAAACAGGGGGCTAGTTCACTGTCCCTCAGACCGTTGGAGGGCCGGACTATAGTTAAAAAAAAAACTATGAACAAATTCCTGTGCACACTGCACGTATCTTATTTTGAAGTAAACAAAACGGGAACAAATACAATATTTGTATTTGCATGTGGCCTGCAGGCCATAGTTTGAGGACCCCTGGTCTAGGCACAGTGAGCCACCTTATTAGTTAGGGCAATTTTTTAAAAATTGATTTTAGAGAGAGAGATGAAGTGAGGGAGGGGGGAGAGAGAAACATTGATTTATTGTTCCACTTATTTATGCATTCATCAATAATGAGAAGTTGGGCCTTTTTAATAGTTTTAGCAACTATTAAACCTCACTCTCCCGGGAAACAGCTCGGGTAGGGCGCAGCCCTTGGCAGCGCATTCCTTGTATGTGCCCTGACCAGAAATTGAACCCGCAACTTTGGCATATCAGGATGGCACTCTAACCAACTGAGCAACCTGGCCAGGACCCAGTTAGGGCAAGTTTTATGTCAGTGTAGGAAACTATTTAGCAGCCAAGTTCCCAGACACTAGTCAAAAGGCCAACCTTATAAGCAAGCCTTTCTAAGGATAGCAATCTCAGGCCTGCTCTATTAACTCTTTTCTGCACAATCACCATTGTTAAGTTTTACCTATTCTTGAATCTATTTATATAAAAACCCTGGGTGTAACGTCTCGACTGAGGCTCAACAAACCAGAAGGAAGTCAGTCCTGCAGGGGTCGTCTTGGAAACGGCTACACCCTCCCCGAGCTGTTTCCCACGAGGGCCGCGAGGTTTGAGGCAAGAACCCGCCCTCGGAGTGTGGCCGCACTGAGTCCTGGGTCCTCTTAGCAACAGCTGCGCCCACCCTGAGCTGTTTCTGGTAAGGGCAAGGTTTGAGGCCGGAACCGGCTTTCGGAGTGTGGACGCACTGAGTCCTGGGTCGCGTTGCCAAGGGCTGCGCCCTCCCCGAGCTGTTTCCCGGGAGAGCGAGGTTTGAGTCAGGAACCAGCCCTTGGAGCGTGGAGGCATATCTTTATAAAGTTTTAATACATTATATTAGAGGTCATGGTAGTACTGTTTTACCCACAGCATCTACAGGACTTGCTGCAAATTTACTTCTCGGTGGAAGCATCTTTCATTCCCAATATAAATTACCCATTCCACTAAATGAAACTTCAACTCTAGACTCGATATAAACAGTGAAGTTGCTAAAACTATTAAAAAGGCTCATCTTCTCATTATTGATGAATGCACCGTGGCATCCAGTCATGCTATAAACGCCATAGACAGATTACTAAGAGAAATTTGAATGTGGTATTTGGTGGGAAAGTTCTCCTCCTTGGAGGCGATTTTCGACAATGTCTCAGTATTGTACTGCATGCTATGCGATCGGCCATAGTACAAACAAGTTTAAAGTACTGCAATGTTTGGGGTTGTTTCAGAAAGTTGTCTCTTACAACAAATATGAGATCAGAGGATTCTGCTTATAGTGAATGGTTAGTAAAATTTGGAGATGGCAAACTTGATAGCAGTTTTCATTTAGGAATGGATATTATTGAAATCCCCTGTGAAATGATTTGTAATGGATCTATTGAAGCTACCTTTGGAAATACTATATCTATAGATAATATTAAAAATATATCTAAATGTGCATTTCTTTGTCCAAAAAATGAGCACGTTCAGAAATTTTGAATATACTCGATGGAGATTTTCACACATATTTGAGTGATGATTCCATTCATTCCACAGATGATGCTGAAAAGGAAAATTTTCCCATCGAATTTCTTAATAGTATTACTCCTTTGGGAATGCCATGTCATAAATTAAAATTGAAAGTGGGTGCAATCATCATGCTATTGAGAAATATTAATAGTAAATGGGGTCTTTGTAATGGTACCAGATTTATTATCAAAAGATTACAACCTAACATCATCGAAGCTGAAGTATTAACAGGATCTGCAGAGGGAGAGGTTGTTCTGATTCCAAGAATTGATTTGTCCCCATCTGACACTGGCCTCCCATTTAAATTGGTTCAATTTCAGTTTCCCATGATGCCAGCATTTGTGATGACTATTAATAAACCACAAAGACATACTCTAGACAGAGTAGGCATATTCCTACCTGAACCCATTTTTGCACATGGTCAGTTATATGTTGCTTTCTCTCGAGTTTGAAGAGCATGTGATGTTAAAGTTAAAGTTCTAAATACTTCAGCACAAGGGAAATTAGTCAAGCACTCTGAAAGTGTTTTCACTCTTAATGTGGTATACAGGGAGATATTAGAATAAGTTTAATCACTTTATCAGTCATTGTTTGCATCACTGTTGTTTTTATATCATGTTTTTGTTGTTTTTATATCATGTTTTTGTTGTTTTCATGTCATGTTTTGTCATTTTTATATCATGCCTCTGTTGTTATGTCCTTTTGTTACTGTTTATTAATAAATTTATATATTATTTTCATATACCTTTTACTAATCTCCTTTAATTTCTCACACTTTTATTATAGAGAAAGGGCAAATAGCAATATTAAAATATTTCCGCTAATTAATTCCCTTTTAATGTGCATGAATTTTGTGCACCGGGCTACTAGTCTATACTAATAATAGCCTAGGTGGTGTCATGCCCTCATGTCATCACAAGATGGCCGTCACAAGATGGCTGCGTGCACAGTAGAGGCGGGGCCTGGTGGCCACTTGGTGCAGTGAGGCCTGGGGGTCCCGTGGCTCTGTGTGGCACGGAGGAGGCTGGTTGTGGCAGGGGAGGGCAGTCGTGGGCGGTCAGGCCAGCAGGGGAGGGCAGTTGGGCGCAATCAGGCCATCAGGCCATCAGGGGAGCAGTTAGGCATCAATTAAGCCGGCAGGGGAGCAGTTAGGGGGCGATCAGGCTGGTAGGCAGAAGCTGTTAGGGCCAATCAGGCAGGCAGGCAGGCGAACGGTTAGGAGCCAGTGGTCACGGATTGTGAGAGGGATGTCCGACTGCCAGTTTAGGCCTAATCCCTGTGCACCAGGCCTCTGGTTTAATATAAAAGGAATCACGTAGTATGCATGCCTGGTTTGTTTTATTCAACGTTATGTTTGTGAGATCTAGCTAAGCTCATTCATTCCCATTGCCAAATATTAATTCCTTTCTACTGTTGGTAGGCAGAGTTGTCCCACCTCTCATCAACATTTGGTATTATCTCTTTTACATTGTAGTCATTCTTCTGGGTATATAGTAACATTTTGTTGCAATTTTAATTAGTATTTCCCTAAGGACTAATGAGATTGAGCTTTGTTTTTTTCTTTAGTTTTTTTTTTTTCCCATGAGCATTTCTTTCATGTGTATTGGCCATCTGAATAATTGCAAATTGCCTGTTCAAGTCTCTTGTCCATTTTTACCTTGGGTTTTCTGGTTTATTTGTAGGAGTTCTTCATGTATATTTTGGGTTTGAGTTTATTGTTGGGTATATGTATTGCAGATACCTTCTTCCATTTTGTGGATTGCCATTTCACTCTTAAATGATTTCTTTTAATGAACAATTATTAACTTTAAAGTAGCCTAATTCATCTTTTCTTTTTGAGTGTGCTCTATTGCCTTTAAGAGCTCTTTGTCTATTACAAGGTAAAGAAGGTAGTCTCCTGTGTTGTCTTTTAGAAGCTTTATTGTTTTACCTTTCATATTTATGTCTGTAATTCATTTGGAATATATTTTTGTACATATGGTGTAAAAATAGGGGTCAAGGTTCTTTTTTTTACATGGATATCCAACTGACTCAATACTATTAAGAAGTTGTCTTTATTGCTGTGCATAGGTACCTTTGTCTTAAGTATCCATAACTCTCCATTTTCTGTTTTATCCTATGCCATTAACACACTGTCTTAATAAGCTTTATAATGAGTTTTAATATCTGGTAGTGGATTTTTTTTTTAGCTTTCTTTTTTCATGGTTGTTTTGACTATTCGTGGTCCTTTGAATTTCTGTGTAAAAAGCTTTAGCGTCATCTTGTCATTTATCTCTCAAAAACACACACAAATGCACAAAAGAACTTGTTGGGATTGTGATTGTAATTAAATCAGTCAACTAGTTTGGGGAGAATTGATATTTTTAGAATTCAGTGAACTTGTATATCCCATTTATTTATTTAAAAATTTGTTTTCTATTAGAGGTCTTTCACTAGATTTACCTCTAGGTATTTGATATGGAAGACATAAGTGTACTGAATTTGAGTGCTCTTGGTATCAGAAAGATGTCTCAACTTAGTTCAGAGATAATACGTACAGCAGGGTTCTATGTGGAAGGTCTTCAGAGATATAAGAATTTAAAAACAAACTTAACTGTGTGAATATGGCAACTTATAGTGAAACAGTTTTTATACCAAATACTGTTGCAACGTGAAATGCTTATAATCATATTGCACAATTATGTAGATATATGATTAAAATACAGACATCTTAGGCATCATTACTGTAAGAAATGCTTCTTGGCTGAATGAAATGCTGTACAATTTAGATATGTATGGTTTTAGTTTAGGTTAGATAACCAACATTTCACCATGGTTTTAATGTTATATATCGAGAAAGAGGGAATTAGTGTTAGAAAGTGTGTGGAGGGGTAAATTGTGATGTTGAGTCATAAGAAAATATACTGTGATATGATTATAAATATGTTTCCAAATTTGTGGCACTATTCATGGCAGAATTTTATGCCTAGAAATTTGAGGAATGAGAGAAAGATCTAGTTGTTACCTTTAGCCAATTAACATTTCTGTGCCTTCATTTCTTCTTCTGCACAAAAGGGATAATAATCATTTGGATAGGAGTTAGAACAGTGTCTGGCTTATAATTAGTGTTTATTATTTGTTTTTCTGCAGATATGTAAGCACCAAGAAGGAATGGACCTTGTCTTGTTCACTATATTCAACACCTTCTGTGTACTAGATTGTCTAGACACAATCCCTGCATTCATGGAGCTTAAAATCTAGTCTGTGCATATCATTGTAAATTCTAAATCATGTTAGTAGTAAGACTGTCATGCTTCCATAAGAAACTGTAGTTATTTATAAAACATTTACTTATTAATTTTCTACAATGGCAGTGTTGCTTTATATGCTTGTTTAAGTTGAAATTCTGAGGGGAATATTAGGCTGTTCATCTCATGGTGTGCAACTTTTTATTTGTAGTGCTGGTGTGATTGAGTCCTCTGATGCTTGGAGTCCTGGGATTTGAAAGACTCGCATTTAAGTTCATTTTTGCTGCTGATCTTGTACATGACTCTGAGCAAGTTACTTCTTAATCATGTCTGTAATTAAATGCACTAAATGATATCTAAGGTTTCTTCCAGCTCTCATTTTGTTATTAATCAGCTTCACTAAATTATGTTATATTCTGTGGGTAGAGGGGAGCAGGAATCCATGGTTCATAATATTATTTGCCTTGAAACTAAATGCTGAAATTTAAATGTTGAGCTCATATTCCATAATTGTATTTTGGTTTTATTTATAGATGCCAGAAGTGGGTGGAAAATTGTAGGAGAGCAGACTTAGAAGATAAAACACCTGATCAACTAAATAAACATTATCGATTATGTGCCAAACACTTTGAGACCTCTATGATCTGTAGAACTGTAAGTAATAGAAGGGCTTGGTTTTTGTTTTCTCTCTCGCTCACTCAGTATCTGGTTGGAAGTATAAATCTTCCTCTATTAATGTTGGAGGGTATCTTTATACCCCTCCACTATTTCTTTTTTTTTAAGATGAAGACAGGTTTGGAGCTGACTAGCCACTTGTAAACTTCCTGTGTAGCCTTCAGAAAAATTTTAAGCTATTATGAAAGTTTATATTTATTTAAGGTAAAGTTGGTGTTTTTATTTGGAGCAGCTTCTCTAGAGCTTTTTTATGAGTAAAATCTTCCAGTAATGGAGTTCTTTGTTTTCATGTATTTGTTTTTGTAAGTACTGTTAGAACCAACAGGAAGCAGATCATACAATTAATGTAAAAAAAACATTTCCATCAATAATTTGCAATTTTATATTAAGACCTGGATCTCTCTTACTACTAACAATCTTACTACTGTTAATTTTTATTTTGGCCAAGTCACTCCCTCTTGGGCCCCAATTTCTAATGAGATTAGACATGATAATTCCTGAGGTCTAAGATTTTTAACCCTCCTTATTTTTATTGCTAGGATTCATAAAAGGCACGCATAGGGCAGATTTGATTGAAATGGAGTAGACGTGAAACACTAAAAACTAGTTAGGAAGACAGTTTTATTTAATAATACATATATTCTTATTTAGGTATAGCTAATGTATCATCCCAGATATTGGGATAGACATAAACTTGATATTTAAGGTGCACTATATATTGTTATGCAGAATTTATTTTGATATTTTTTTCAGATACATTTTGCAGAGGCACCAGAAAACTAAAGAATGATTGGGTTATTTATTTCTCAAAATTATTTGAAGCAGATACTTGTGAAGTCATTGGGAGGTGAGCCAATTCCGGTTCAACAGTTTAATCAGAAATATTTGAGGAATAATTTTGCCTTGCTTTGTTAAGAGGGTAATAATAATCATGACCAACCAAAATAAGAGATTTACTATGTTAAAAAGCTAACTATTTTATGTTTTTGACAATAAGTAAAACAGTCCCAAATTATTATTTTAAATACACAAGCCTTATGCATTTTTATATTTTTATTTTAGTAATAAATATGGTCTCTTAATTAGATAATTCCAACAAGATTAATATGAGAAATTTAACATATAGTTTATTCTCATATTCTTGTTTAGTCAATGAATAAACTTGCTTTTTAAACTTCCACATGAATATTCAATCTTGAATAAATTAAATTCAAATGTGAGAATTTTTTTTAAACTTACTTAGATGGTATTGCTATTAAAAGCTGTATTGCCTAAGATCTGTATTCAAATGTTAAGAGTATTCATTAATTTGGCATTTAAAGTCTCATTAGTAAACATTCATGGCTAGTTCAATCAAAGCCAAGTGTTAACTTTAATGCTAGAGTAAGATCATTGCTTTATGCTCAAACCTTAATTCAGCAGTTAAAGATTAAATCTTGTTACTGCATTAAAATGATCAGACACATGAATTGAATATAGCCCTTTTAGGCATACATGCTTATAGATGAATATGTATTAAAAGTTGCATGTTTTCCACATGTTGTTTTCTGGTCTTTAATATTTTTTATAGCAAATGAATTTGAATTTGAAACATGTATTAGAATGTTTTATCCCTCCTCTCCTTATGTAATAATTGGTGATACCAAGAGTTGACTATGTATGCGTGTATGCTTGCTTTTTGAGATGATTGCTGAGTGGGAAAGATGAGACGCTTTGGGTATTGTATAGCTTTTGCTCCCTTCAATGACTGTGTCCCTAATCAATCCCGGATTCAGACTTCATAGTAGAGTCGGGATAATTGGCACAGCATTAGAAGCTGGGTATCATTAAGAAATAGATTTTGAGGTGCTCCCCCTCTCAGGAGCTCACCTGCCTTTCCCCTCTTCCCCCCAGGTGTGCTGTCTTTGCCTTTCTCTCTCCTAAGCTCTAAGTGCCCTTCTTTTGCTTCTGTAACTTGTTTCCTGAGGCTATGCAGCCCAGCCAACTCACTTCTACTACCTCTGTAACTTTCTAAATAAACTTTTTAAAAAAGAAAAATAGGTTTGCTTCTTTGTGTGTGTGTGTGTGTGTTTTTTTTTGTGTTTTTTTATGAGGCATGGGATTGAACTAGAAAATACTGAATCTGAATAGAAATTCTTCCTAGATAACAGCTCTTTGGATGAAACCTAGGTAGTGTATTTTCTTTAGTTATATAGAGTTAACCTTTAAATAACACAGAGGTTTGGGGGTGCTGACACCCCACACAGTAGAAAATCTGTGTATAATTTTGATTCTCTGAAAACTTATAGCCTACTTTTGACCGGGAATCCTTTCTGATAACATAAATAAAAAATTAATACATATTTTGTGTTATATTTATTATATACTGTATTCTTACAATAAAGTAAGCTTAAGAAAATACATTTGCAGTATTTATTGAAAAAAATCCACATGTAAGTGTACCTGTGCAGTTTAATTCTGTGTTTTTCAAGAGTAAAATGTACTTTCCTTTATATCTTTCTAACCTTCCTTCCCTGGGTAAAAATATAGAAGTTGTTATTTTTGTTTGGCATATATTTTGACCAGGCTTTAATAGTCAGCTTTGAAACAATCACTGCTCTGGAGAAAGCTTTTAAAAATGAAGTGTCTTTATCAGTGCAAATATGTGAAGAAATTAATGATACTGCTTCTCTGGACGAGCTGGGAGGGAATGTAGTAGCAGTTATTAATAAACTTCTTGTCCCATCTGACTTCCTCTGGGCTGGCTATGAAAACTGTCACCATCTAAGTATGCATCTAGCTTTTAATCAGGTTGGATTGCAATAACAGGAATTAGGATAGAGCAGTGGTCTGCAAACCGTGGCTCGCGAGCCACAGGCGGCTCTTTGGCCCCTTGAGTGTGGCTCTTCCACAAAATACCATGTGCGGGCGCGCACGTACAGTGCGCTTGAAACTTCATGGCCCATGCGCAGAAGTCGGTTTTCTGCCTGGGCTAGTCTATTTTGAAGAAGTGGCGTTAGAAGAAGTGGGGGTACGTTCGCTGAGGTCGACAACTCAGATTGAGGACGTTTTTAGCAAAGGCCAGTACCCTAATTAAGTTAACCCTTTGCGGTCCAATTTTATTTTTGGAATTCAAACAGTCTGGTCCAAATTAATTGACGGGATTGAATGTTGAAGTTATCTGTCTCACTAGACCTCAGCTCAACGTTGGGCCTGCTCCTAGCATCTGGTCTGTCGAGTCAGCCTCCACGTTGGACCGAAAAGGGTTAATAACAATGTACCTACCTATATAGTTTAAGTTTATTTTTTTTTTTATTTTTATTTTTTCACTAAAAGTATTACAAAGGGTATTACATAAGTGTCCTTCCCCCCCCCCCCCCACCCTTGTATAGTTTAAGTTTAAAAAATGTGGCTCTCAAAAGAAATTTCAATCATTGTACTGTTTATATTTGGCTCTGTTGACTAATGAGTTTCCTGACCACTGGGATAGAGCATAGTCATTCTTCAATAAGAACATCTGAATTATAAGGGGATTTAGAAGTACCTATTTCAGTGTTTGCAAAGTGTGATTATGTGTGTGTGTGTGTGTGTGCGCGCGCGCCGTGCCGGGGGCCGTGCACACACACACACACACACATATATCACTGGGGATGAGTGATTTCAGGTAGTACATGCATCACTTTATTTAAGAAGTTTTTTAATGAGTAAAAATATAACCAGCCCATCAAACCATTATTTTGTGATTTTTATTGCTTATTACAATGTTAACTAAAAAAGTGAGTAGATTGTGTAAAAGTACAGATGGCATAACTGAAATGGCAAGCATTTTGTTCATTAGTATTTGAATATTTTCATTTTTTGGAAATATGGATCTAGTTCAATACCTGAATTTTATTCAGAAGAGGAACTGAGGTCCACAATGGGAAAGTATTATATGTATTATATACTATATATGGTGAGTCACTGTTAGAGTTTGGACTAGTTTCTAAGTCTCATGTGTCCCAGTCCAACATTATTTCATTGTGCCTTGATGCTTCTCAGAAATAGTAGCAAAAGTGGACTGAACAACCGGTAAAGGAGGGAAACTTATTATAGAACATACACTAGATTTTCTTAGAAACTTTTGTGTCTACTATAGATTGGGTGGGCTAATGGAAGAACAGAATAGATAAAATAGCTGGGATTCTGAGTTAGGGGGAAAAAAATACATATATATTAGAGGATTAGAGGCCCGGTGCACAAAATTCGAGCACTCGGGGTGAGGGGGTGTCCCTCAGCCCAGCCTGCGCCCTCTCGCAGTCCAGGAGCCCTCTGGGGATCCTTAGCACTGCCATGGAGGCGGGAGAGGCTCCCGCCACTGCTGTGCTCGCCAGGCCAGCCATAAGCCCTGCTTCTGGCTGAGCGGCGCTCCCCTGTGGGAGCACACTGACCACCAGGGGGCAGCTCCTGCATTGAGCGTCTACCCCCTGGTGGTCAGTGCACATCATAGCGACCAGTCATTCTGCCATTGGTCGATTTGCATATTAGCCTTTTATTATATAGGATATGCAAAATGCAAATACATTTTATTTTTTATGCCTATCATTATTTCAGTTCCCTAATTTATAATAGTATGATTACCAAAAGGGCAAATATGAAAAGAGCTAGAAATAATAAGCTGACTTGGATTGACATCATTAATTCTTCAGGTTTCTCTATACTTTAGAGCTGGAGTTGAAGGAGTACTGGAGAAATCATTAATGTAGAATTTTATTTATATGTAATATATTCTTAAGGACTAGCTCTGAATTAACACATTTTTCTTTTTCAGAGTCCTTATAGGACAGTTCTTCGAGATAATGCAATACCAACAATATTTGATCTTACCAGTCATTTGAACAATCCACATAGTAGACACAGAAAACGAATAAAAGAATTGGTATGTCAATATGCTTTCAGCTTTCCCAATCCCCGGTATACTATGAAATCAAATAGATATATTCATGTTAAAATTGAACTAAGTTACTCTCTATTTCAAAGGTACCTATACAGGAAATGAATGCTATGGTTATTATTGAAGTAGCCAGGATGTAAAACGATAACTTTGTTACAGTATTTAAATTGGAAAATGTCTCTCAAATTTAGCCAATTGATACTCATTGGCTTGGGCCAAAGTGTGCTGTTGATTACAGGCTACTATCTCCTTTTTATGAAGAAAAACAAAACACTACCTTTTCTTTTATAGTAAGAAAAGTGGAACTGAGGTATATTTCCAGAATTTAGCACATATGGATACAGAAAGGGAAAGTTTAAAAGTTAAGACATGGATAGTTTTACCTAGAGATAGGATTCTATTGCTATTAAGTACTGACAGGATTTAGAAAAAGCTTTTCGATCTCTGTATATGGCATCATTTATGTGTGTTTTTATATTCCTTTGATATCCTTTAGATCAGGGGTCCTCAAACTTTTTAAACAGGGGGCCAGTTCACTGTCCCTCAGACCGTTGGAGGGCCGGACTATAGTTTAAAAAAAAAACTATGAACAAATTCCTATGCACACTGCACATACCTTATTTTGAAGTAAAAAAACAAAATGGGAACAAATACAATATTTGTATTTGCATGTGGCCCGCGGGCCGTAGTTTGAGGACCCCTGCTTTAGATGATTGAAACCTACCTGCTCTTTGTTAACCTTAGGCCAACAAAATTAAATTACTCAGACTCCTCAGTCCATGGCTTTCTCTTATCATTACCACTGATAAGACACTTATTTTGTTTATTTTTCTTTCTTCCTCTATTACCCCATTCCTACTCTCCCTGTTGGTATCCATGCTAGTGTCTTTAATATATGTCATTTCACTCTACCAATTATGTGCTTTCTTTAAGACAACATTTATATATAATTTCCTTCATGTTTACCTTTCATATTTAGATTTTTAATCCATTTGGAGTTGTATGTATTGTGTGCAGTAGAAATCTAATTTTATTTTTCTTCTTATAGAGAAGACCAGTTTTCCCAGCATGCTCTATTAATCCATCCTTTCTTCTATTGGTATAACCTGCCACCTCTGTCATATACAAATTCACATATATGCAGGGCTGTTTCTGGAGCTCCATTCTGTCCTGTTGGAATTTTTTGTTGTTGTTGTTAATCCTCACCCGAGAATATTTTTTTCATTGATTTTTTAGAGAGAGTGGAAGGGAGGGGGGAGAGGGAGAAACAGAGAGGGAAACATCAATGTGAGAGAGATACATCGATGGGTTTCATCCAGCATGCACCCCGACCGGGGCCAGGAATCAAGTCTGAAACCGAGGTACATGCCCTTGACCGGAATAGAACTCGAGATCCTCAGTCTGCAGGCCCCGCTCTAACCACTTAGCAACCAGCTAAGGCATTGTTGCAGTTTCATAAAAGAAAACATGTACATTTTTCTTTAGATTACTTTCTAAATACATTATGGTTTTTGGTATTGTTTATGTATTCTAGATGAGATTGTTTCCAGCAGTTTTGAAGGCTCTTTAATATTAATCCTATAACACCTACGGGCACTTTCTGCTGGAAAAGAAGCCCCTTGCTGGTCTGGCCTTTGGGAAGGGTTCCCCCCTCAGGCGGGAATCAGAAAGTAAGACATTGCCCAGCTGGCATGGCTCTGATTGAGCATCAGCCTATGAACCAGGAGGTCATGGTTCGATTCCTGGTCAGGGCACATGCCTGGGTTGCAGGCTCAATCCCCAGTAGTGGGTATACAGGAGGCAGCCAATCCATGATTCTCTCTGATCATTGATGTTTCTGTCTATCTCTCCCTCTCCCTTTCCTCCCTGAAATCAAATATATATATATATATATATAATTTTAAATGTTATCAAGAATCTGTGAGATTTGTAAAAAAAAGAAAAAAAAAGTTAATCCTATTAGTATGCCGGGTTTTCTATGTAGTTGATTATATTAGCTACAAATAAGGACAGTCTACAAATAAGGACAAATTTGCCTTTTCTTCCAATTCTTTTTCACCCTCCTACTGTTTGTGTCCATAGGTCATGCATATATGCATATGTTCTTTGATTAATCTCTCTCCCACCCCCACCCCACTTCCCTCTGAGATTTGAGAGTCTGTTCCATGTTTCCATGCCTCTGGTTCTATTTTATTCATCAGTTTATTTTGTTCATTAGATTCCTTATTTGTTTATTTTTAGAATCAACTGCTGATAATTATGTTTTTATTGCCATTTGTTTATATTTTTAATCTTTTTTTCCTTCTTCTTCTTAAAGAATACCCTTCAACATTTCATATAATACTGGTTTGGTGGTGATAAACTCCTTTAGCTTTTTCTTGTGTGTGAAGCTCTTTATCTGACCTTCAGTTTTAAATGATAGCTTTGCTGGGAAGAGTAATCTTGGTTATAGGTCCTTGCTATTCATCACTTTGAATATTGCTTGCCACTCCCTTCTGGCCTGCATAGTTTCTATTGAGAAACCAGCTGACAGTTATATGAGAGCTCCCTTGTAGGTAGGTAACTGCTTTTCTATCACTACTTTTAAGATCCTCTCTTTGTCTTTAATTCCTGGCATTTTAATTATGTGGTGTCTTGGTGTGGACCTCTTTGGGTTCATCTTGTTTGGAACTCTTTATGCTTCCTGGACTTGTAAGTTTATTTCTCCACCAGGTAGGGGGAGTTTTCTGTCATTATTTCTTCAAATGGGTTTTCAATATCTTGCTCTCTTTCTTCTCCTTCTGGCACCCCCATGATGTGAATGTTGGTATGCTTAAAGTTATCCCAGAGGTTCCTTATACTATCTTCATATTTTTGGGTTCTTTACCCCCCCCCTCTTTTGATTGGATGTTTTTTGCTTCCTCATTTTCCAAATCGTTGATTTGATTCTCGGAATTCTCTACTGTTGAATCCCTGTAAATTATTCTTTATTTCAGTTATTGTATGCTTAATTTCTGACTGGTCCTTTTTATGTCTTTGAAATTCTCACTGAGATCCTTGAAATTCTCATTAAGTCCCATGAAGCTCTCATTAAGATCTTTGAGCACCTTTATAACCATTGTTTTGAACTCTGTACCTAGTAGTTTGCTTGCTTCCATTTTATTTAGTTCTTTTTTTCTGGAGATTATTTCTTTTCTTTCATTTGTGACATGTTTCTTTGTCTCCACAGTTTGGCTGCTTCCCTGTGTTTGTTTCTATATATTAGGTAGAGCTGCTATGTCTCCTGGAATTGGTAGAGTGGCCTTGTGTAGTAGGTGTCCTGTAGGGCCCAGTGGCTCAGCCTCCCCAGTCACCAAAGCTGGACACTCTAGGTACACCCCTGTGTGGGCTGTGTACTCTGTCTTGTAGTTGAGCCTTGATTACTGTTGGTGTCACTGGGAGGAATTGACCCCCAGGCCATTTGGCTATGAGGACCAGCTGTGACTACAGTGGAAGAGCTGCTGTGCAGGAGACATCTCTATGGAGTAGGATTTGCTTTTGTGTGGCTTTGGTGCTCACTGAGTCTGCTCCTTGAGTGTGTTGCTCGTGGATGTGTAGAGTTGTAATCTGGTATGGTCTGAAGCTGTCCACCTGGTGCACTGGCTCTGGGGCCCCCCTGGAGGTGCAAAGTCAGCTGCTGCCTGAGCCCTGCTTTTGGCTACCTGTCAGGAGCTATAAAGCAATCTGCAGATGGCTGCTACTTACCTTGGGCTTAGAAGTGCCCAGGAAAGGCCAAGCTGTGAAACAAGGCAAGCTGCTGCTAGTGCCAGGCCTGGCACCTCTTACTGAGAGGATTGGGGGACTCTATGCCAGCAGCTGCTTGTTTGAGAGATTTTAGGAAAGTCTGAAGCCTGAGCCAGGACAGGCCATTCATATGGAAAAGCTGAAAAGCCACTGCAAATAGCTTGCATGGAGCTGCAAATTGGGTGGGGCAGGATCTCAGGGAATCACCATGGCTAAGGGAACGATGTGAGCCAGGCTGATGAAAACTCAGATATGGCACTTGCCAGTCAGCTCTGTGATGGGGGAGGTCTCAGCATAGGAACAGTGACCTCTGCCAGCACTTTTGTCGAGAATGCTGCCCCCCAAGTTCTTGCTCCAATGCCAGACAATCCAGTTCTTCCCAGTATGTACCTGGATTCCTCCCAAGCCACTGCCCCAGCGCTGGCTCTCAGAGAGAGCTAGACCAAGTAAGTCTGTGCACTGCCCCTTTAAAAGGAACTACTGTGACTCCAGCAGCCTCTGTGGCGCTCAGCCACAATCCCTGCTCATTTTTACAGCCCAAAGTTACGAGGAACTTCTCTTCCCAGCACTGGAACCCTGTGCTAAAAGGTCTGGTGTGGGGCTGGGATCACTGGCTTCTCCCAGGAAGCCTCCGCATCCCAGATATCCCTTCGATTAAAAAAAGTCACACATGGTTGTCGGACCAGCCCCTTTCGCACTGCTACCCCTCCTACCAGTCTCAATGTGCTTTTTTTCTTTAATTGTCTAGTTTTAGGACTTTCATTCAGCTAGATTTCAGGCAGTGCTGAATGATGGTTGTTCTGTATTTTCGTTGTAATTTTGATATGGTTGTGGGAGGCAGTGAGTACCGGTGTTTACCTATGCCCCCATCTTGATTCTCCTGTTCCAATTCTTATTTTAATTTTTTCTGTTCTCTGTTGTATTGTTTAGTCAAGATCTGTACTACTGTGTTGAACAGTCCCAATAACATCACAGCTGGTATACTTGCCTTGTTCCATTAAGTCTGATGTTTGCTGTTGTTTTTGTCAAGCTAGGAAAATTCCCTTCATTACCTTTTAATACTCATATTCAGAGTTTCTGTTATAATTTGTTGTATTTATTAAAAGCTTTCATTGCATCTGTTGACTAGAAAAGTTCACAATATTTTTTTCACTCTTTAATGTGGTGAATAACTGATGGGTTTTCTGATGTTGAACCATCTTTACATTCCTGTGATGAACCCTAATTGATTGCAATAGATCCCTGTTTTTATACAGTATTGGAATCAGTTGGTCAATATTTTATTTAGGATTTTGCATTTAACAATGTTGGCCTATAATTTCTTTTTATGCACTTTTATCCATTTATGGTAGCAATGTTCTATTAGTCTCATAAAATGACTTGGATAGTTTTCCTTTTTTCACTCTGTATTTTTCTAGAAAAATTGTATAAAGTAAATATTATATGCTCTTGAAAATTAGATTGAACGTGGTAGAACCATCAGAGCGCTATAGTGAGTAGGGAAATATTTTGATTGCCATTTCAATTTATTTATTGGTTTTCTCTTCTGTGTGTTTTATATGTTTCTAAAAGTTTATGAACTTCATCTAGGATTTGGAATGTTTCCCTTCTCTGCCCTTAAAACTATTTTAATAGTCTTTTTGAAGAAATAGTGATTACTTTTGTCAATGATTGAAGTACTTGTGAGCTATTTTATTGGTTTCTTCTTGATTGAGGGATTTGGGTGTTGGCTTTTTCTAGCTTCTTGAATGTTTAGCTCATATTTATGTATATTTAGTTATAAATGTCTCTCTAAGTATGTTTTTGCTGTATCTCACAGTTTTAGACATGTAGTGCTTTCATTGGTCAGCAATACTTTGTGATTTCTTTAACATGGGATACTTCTTGTTTCCAGTTTCCAGACATGGGTTTATTTTTTTTTTAAATAATTTTTTATTGTTGAAAGTATTACATATGTCCCCTTTTTCCCCCCATTGACCCCCTTCAGCCTGCCCCTGCCCTCCCCCACCCCAGGCCTTCAGCACCCTATTGTCTGAGTCCATGGGACATGCATATATGCATACAAGGTCTTTGGTTCATTACCTCCCACCCACCCACCCACCCTCCCCTGCCTTCCCTATGAGATTCCGCACTCTATCCATGCCTCCATGTTTCTGGATCCACTGCGTTCATCAGTTTATTTTGTTACTTAGATTCCACATACGAGTGCGATCACAGACATGGGTTTATTTTTAAAAACCATTTTGTATTTCAAATGTTTAGTGATATAGAGGAAACACATCGTCTATGTGATGTTGATTCTGATTTTTTTTTGCATTTATTATTGCATTGAAGTCTGTTGTCAGCCTGATTCTTGATTGTTTTTAGGTGACCTGTCTTTTTAAAAAATATTTGACATTTTCAGTTTTGCTAAACTACATCCTGTTCTGATTTTTTCATGCATTTCTTTACCTCTATTATATTTATTTGTTTTTCTGGAAAATATTGACACTACACAACAGTCCTCTAAATCAGCTTTCTTCTTAGTAATGTGTACCAGGGGTGAGGAGCTCAACACCTCCATCCTGTAGCTATTATTTCCCTATACTCTGTCTTTCCCCACCCCCACCTTCCAACCCCCATCTCAGGGAATCTCAGACACCTTGCAGCAGGCACACTGTTCCAGATCTGTCATCCATGTAACTCTGGCAGCCCACAGGATGAAGAGGGATAGCTAGCCTGCTGACATTTCTTCATATCAGTATCATGTCCCATGCTGCCCAGCAGATACCCGCTGTCTCCAGCTGTCACTGGTACTGCTGCTTTCCTGCCCTGGAATAGTAACCATTGCAGTGGATTGGAGAGAGAGAAAAGAACACAATTGGGAAGTTCTTCCTTAATCTAACCCTTTATCTGCCACTTGCCTATCTCTGCTATATGCATTCATTTTTTTCCATACTGGCACTGTGTCACCTTCTGCTTCCTAGGGATTTCTCATAGCTTTTATGTTAGGTTCTGGAATCCAGCAATTCCCTCTTACATATCATCCCCCTGGGTTAGAGTAGCAAGAGGTAGGGCACATGATTTTGTGTCCCCTCGGAATTTATCTCATGCTATGGTATACATTCATGCCTTTTATTAGCCAATTAAACACTTATAATCCAATGATTTAGATATAAAGTAAATTAAATGTTGTGTTCTTTCTCCTCTAGTATTTTATTATAAGCTTGGAGTCATGAGCAAATTAATTGTTCTAGTTTTCCCATCATCTATCTGTTTGAAGAATGTATTTCTTTTAAAGAATGTATGCTCTTGAGAGAATTAAATTTGACTCCAAATATGCTTTTTACTTGTGAGTCTACGTAATATGCTAGAGTTGACTTTTCATAAAGATGGTTTTTTTCTTTTTTTCTTGTCATTTAGAGTGAAGATGAAATCAGGACACTGAAACAGAAAAAAAGTAAGTGCTAGTGTTAATGACTCAACTTCTGAATGCCTTTTAAAAAGGCCTTGACCTGGTAAGGACAAATAAATATGTTTTATGTTCAAAACCTGTGAGAATGTTTTGGAATTGTCTGTGCAACTAAAACCTTAGTTCAGTTTGTCTTTATTGAGTGCCAATACACCATTCACTTTGCCCACTCGGTGCTCTCAGTGTGGTAGGGGGTGGCAGGCACACAGAGTGTTCCAGTGCAGGGAAGGGAAGGTAGCAGTAAGGACAGAAGTAGAATCTGTCCATCCAATGTGTAGTGCATAATAGGTTCTTGGTAATTAAGGAGTAAATGCTGTGGGGATACTTAGTCTTATAGAGGGTAGGAGTCCAAAAGCCTTTCTGCAGGTACTGATGCCTATATCAATTAATTTAATTCTTACAATAGCCCTGAAGTAAGAACTGTTATTTTCCCCCTTTACAGATGAGGAGACATGGATTCAGGCAAAGAAAAAGGGAAGGATATTCTTTGCAGAGGTAGAGTGACTTGAAACAGGGTGCCAGATTTGAGGAACTACATTCATTTTGTTGTTGGAGCTTCTAAAACCCATGATGGTTAGAAATGAACTCAGGGGGACCACAGGGGCCAGGACTTGCAGGGTTGTGTATATGACTGTAGGCAGGACACTTCACTGCAGGGCCATCCAAATATGAAGAAATTAGGCTAATTTGGAAAAACTATCCCAGTTGTACTGTGTTGGGTTGGCATTGTACAGAAATTAACAGCCATATTGGTCTAGAAACGTTCAACATAATTATTTTATTGATTTTTTACAGAGAGCTACATTAGTTTTTATAGGTGTCTCATCTCCCATATATAAGTATAGCAATAAAAACAGTATCAGTATGAACCTTGGAGCCAGACAAACTTGGATTTCAATTTCACCTCTTTTTTTTTTTTTAAATCCTCACCTGAGGATGTTTTTACTGATTTGGGGGAGCAGGAAGGGGGGAGAAGAGAGAAACATCAATGTGAGAGAGAGACATTGATTGGTTGCCTCCTGTATGTACCCGACTGGGGATCAAACCCACAACCTTTTGGTGTGTGGGACAATGCTCCAACCAATGAGCCACCCAGCTAGGGCTCATCTCCATCTTTCTAACTGCATCTATGACCTTGAGCGGTTATTTACTATCATTTGTCAAATGGGGTTGATACCATCTGCCTATAGAGGGAGTAATGGGAAACATAGAATGTCAGCACAGTATGTCATAAATATTCTCTTCCCCTTCCTTTTTCTGAGGGCACATACTGTCTTATTACTCAATATGTGATGTACCTTAAGTTTTTAAAATATATCTCCGTTCACAGTGTTTGTCTTCCCCACTAGAGTGTAATCTCTGTCCTAGTTTGTGGTCCAGTAGGTGTCCTGTGAATGTTGAATAAATGAGTTAGTGGATTTTAAGTATTTAAAAAATCAAGAATGCATTTTTTGTTTGTATGGTTCCTCATAAGCCTGTTTTTAAAATTCTTTGTTTTCCAGTTGACGAAACTTCTGAACAGGAACAAAAACATAAAGAGATCAACAACACCAATGCTCAGAACTCCAATACAGAAGGGGGTGAAGAACAGGATGAAGACATTTTACCTTTAACCCTTGAGGAGAAGGAAAACAAAGAATACTTAAAATCTTTATTTGAAATTTTGATTCTTATGGGAAAACAAAACATACCTCTAGATGGACATGAAGCTGATGAAGTCCCAGAAGGTCTCTTTACTCCTGATAACTTTCAGGCACTGTTGGAGTGCCGGATAAATTCTGGTGAAGAGGTTCTGAGAAAGCGCTTTGAGACCACAGCAGTCAACACACTGTTCTGTTCAAAAGCACAGCAGAAACAGATGCTAGAGATCTGTGAGAGCTGCATTCGGGAAGAAACGCTCAGGGAAGTGAGAGACTCTCACTTCTTTTCGATTATCACTGACGACGTAGTGGACATAGCAGGGGAAGAGCACCTGCCTGTGTTGGTGAGGTTTGTTGACGAAGCTCATAACCTGCGAGAGGAATTTGTGGGTTTCCTGCCTTATGAAGCTGATGCTGAAATTTTGGCTATGAAATTTCACACTACGATAACTGAGAAGTGGGGATTAAACATGGAATATTGTCGTGGCCAGGCTTACATTGTGTCCAGTGGATTTTCTTCCAAAATGAAAGTTGTTGCTTCTAGACTTTTGGAGAAATATCCCCAAGCTGTCTACACACTCTGCTCTTCCTGTGCCTTAAATATGTGGTTGGCAAAATCGGTGCCTGTTATGGGAGTGTCTGTTGCGTTAGGAACAATTGAGGAAGTTTGTTCTTTTTTCCATCGATCACCACAACTGCTTTTAGAGCTTGACAATGTAATTTCTGTCCTCTTTCAGAACAATGAAGAAAGGGGTAAAGAACTGAAGGAAATTTGCCATTCTCAGTGGACAGGCAGGCATGATGCTTTTGAAATTTTAGTGGACCTCCTACAAGCACTTGTTTTATGTTTAGATGGTATAAATAATGATACAAATATTAGATGGAATAACTGTATAGCGGGCCGAGCATTTGTACTCTGTAGTGCAGTAACAGATTTTGATTTCGTTGTTACCATTGTCGTTCTTAAAAATGTTCTATCTTTTACAAGAGCCTTTGGGAAAAATCTCCAGGGTCAGACCTCTGATGTCTTCTTTGCAGCCAGTAGCTTGACTGCGGTGCTGCATTCACTAAATGAAGTGATGGAAAATATTGAAGTTTATCATGAATTTTGGTTTGAGGAAGCCACCAATTTGGCAACCAAACTTGATATTCAGATGAAGCTCCCTGGGAAATTCCGCAGAGCTCAGCAAGGGAACCTGGAATCTCAGCTGACCTCTGAGAGTTACTATAAAGAAGCTCTAAGTGTTCCAACAGTGGAACACATTATTCAGGAATTGAAAGATATATTCTCAGAACAGCACCTCAAAGCTCTTAAATGCTTATCTCTGGTCCCCTCTGTCATGGGACAGCTCAAATTCAATACATCGGAGGAGCACCATGCTGACATGTACAGAAGCGACTTACCCAATCCTGATACACTCTCAGCTGAGCTGCATTGTTGGAGAATCAAGTGGAAACACAGAGGAAAAGATATAGAGCTTCCATCCACCATTTATGAAGCCCTCCACCTGCCAGACATCAAGTTTTTTCCTAATGTTTATGCATTGTTGAAGGTCCTATGTATTCTTCCTGTGATGAAGGTTGAGAATGAACGCTATGAAAATGGGCGAAAGCGTCTCAAAGCATACCTGAGGAACACTTTGACAGACCAAAGGTCAAGTAACTTAGCTTTGCTTAACATAAACTTTGATATAAAACATGATTTGGATTTAATGGTGGACACATATATCAAACTCTATACAACTAAGTCAGAGCTTCCTACAGATAATTCCGAAACTATCGAAAATACCTGAGAGACTTTTAAAATGGGTTTTCTCTTATATTTGATATTGAAAAAAATCTAAGAAATTTGAAAATATAGAAAAGCTATAAGATATATGTAGGCCACTTAATCACTGAATATCTTGAGTATATTAGCTGTTGATAATCTGACTGTTTAAATGGCCCGTTTGAACTCTCATGCTTTGGAGAACTAACTGTTCTTCCAGAGGGTAACATTGAAAGTGCCACGCTGCACTTCTGCGTGGTCTCTGCTAATGGCACTTTGGAATTGTTTTAGTTAAGTCAATTTAGACATAACATTATTATCACTGTGGATCCTGTTGTTGGGTATTGAGTTACCAGTTCTTTGAAGAAATAAATTTTGAGAAGGTGTGAGAGGAATATATTTCATAAAATTTTACAATGAAGCTCATGACTAACCTTTCAATAGCAGGAGTTTTAAGTTTACTATTAAAAATCTTTAATGAACAGTTAAATTACCAGATAGTGAAAGAAACGTGAGCTTGCCAAACAAGGATTTCAGTGTAGATTTTGTCTTTATTCGATAATCTTAAACAAGTTACTGTTAAACATTGAAGGAAGAACCTGCCATTGTTCCACATCTGGGTGTTGCTGTTTACATTCCTTTGTTGAGCCTATATCTTCATAAGCTTTTTAGCAAGTATATGTCGAACACTTCTGTTTCATGGTCAAGACAGGATCAGAGGCTATGGATACTGACAATAGATTGGTCTGTTTTATTCTGTCTTTTCCCATGATTATATCTACTGCCTCGTCTTGATTTATAAGCAAAACCTAGACAACCTACAAAAATGTGTTTTGTAGTTTATCTAGGAATAATACAGAAAATATTGCTGTTATTTTTGGTGAAGAAAGTCAATTTTGTACAGTTTATTTCGACGTAAATAAAATGTGAATTTGTTTAAAGTTCAGGTACTTTATTTTGGTGGGGACAAAATAGATTCTTCTGGTAAATTCCCTTTTCAAAAATATTTGTCACCTTCACAATGGAAAAGAAGTTTTTTTAAAATTTATTTTTTGGTTTATTGTTTACTACTTGGGATATATAAAGGCATTTTAATTAAGAAATTATTAAATACTAGAGACCCGGTGCAATTTGTGCAATGGTGGGGGAGGGGTGTGTGGGGGGTGTCCCTCAGCCCCATTTGTGCCCTCTCACAGTCTGGGACCCCTTGGGAGATAACCACCTGCTGGCTTAGGCCCGCTCCCCAGGTGGCAGATGGCAGGCCCGATCCCTCGGTGCCTGCCCCGCCTCCCTGGATCGCGCACACGGCAGGACCAATCTGGGGGTTGGGGCGCTGCCCCGGGTCGTGCACATGGCAGGGCCGATTCGGGGGTTGAGGCGCCGCCCCGTGGCGGGTTGCACATGGGACGCCCGGGCAGGCCGGCCGATCGCTGCTGCCCCACCCGGCCACCCTGGGTCGGGTCGCACATGGGACGCCCGCCGCCCGGGGTTGCAGATAGCAGGCCCGGATGGCAGCAGGGCAGGTGGAATGGCACTGTCCCGCCCCACCGCCCCGGGTTGCAAATAGCAGGCCTAGATGGCGGTGGGACAGGCGGGATGGTGCTGTCCCGTCCTGCCTGCAGTATGCAGGTTATCCGCCATTTTGTTGACAGTTAATTTGCATATCGTGCTGATTAGCCAATGGGAGGCGTAGCGAAGGTATGGTCAATTACCATGTTTGTCTATTATTAGATAGGATAAGGTTTATCTAACTGATTTTTATTTTTTATTTTTTTAAATATATTTTTATTGATTTTTTACAGAGAGGAAGGGAGAGAGAGTCAGAAACATCGATGAGAGAGAAACATCGACCAGCTGCCTCCTGCACACCTCCCACTGGGGATGTGCCCGCAACCAAGGTACATGCCCTTGACCGGAATCGAACCTGGGACCTTTCAGTCCGCAGGCCGACGCTCTATCCACTGAGCCAAACCGGTCTTGGCTGATTTTTATTTTATTTTTAATCCTCCTGAGGATTTTTTTTTATTGCTTTTCAGAGAGAGTAGAAGGGAGAGAGGGAGGGGGCAGAGAGAGAGAAACATGATAAACATGTGAGAGAGATACATGGACTGGTTGCTCCTGTATGCACCCTGAAGGTGGGGAGGAGAGGGGAGGGCATTGAACCTGTGACCCTTCTGTGCCTAGGCTGACATTCTAGCAACACCAGCTAGGGCAATGCAGCTGATTTTTAAAATATTATATGGCCCCCAATATCAATTGTCAGGGTTTGTGTAATTGTTGCTGGCTAAAATGTAAGTGAATGAATATAATTGCAGAGATATCACTGAATTATTTTATGTTGGGATAAGTTAGTGTTCTTTGAGTATCAGAAAACAGAATGGGGCATATTTAAGGAGTGCTGGGTCTTGATGATAGCAGGCAGTACATTTCCCTGTCATTGACAACCCTGGCAGAGATGTCACATTGGGACATGTTACCCATGCAAGTTATAAAGAAGATGTCAAGAGTTTATCTCATAGCCAGAGTTGTAGCGGTTCCTCTGTCATTGGCAGAAAGACTGTTCAGGTTCATGATAGCAGGATGACATTGAAGGAGACAGCTGGCCTTTTAATACCTGCATCCAGGTCTTAGGATACTTAAAAGCGATGTGACTTTGGCAGATTATTTAACCTGGGTACGTTTTTTAAACTATAAAACCACACTTAATGGTTGTGCTATGAGGGTTAGATAATTTATCATCAGTTACCTATTACTGCTTAACAGCATCCCAAAACTTAGTGGCTTTAAAAAAACAACAACAGCTTATCATTTCCCACAGTCTCATGGCTTGGTTTAGTGGTTCTTTTGCAAATCTCATCCGGGCTCTCCGCATTCAGCCAGCAGATTGGCTGTGGTCTGGGTAGGACAGCTGGGCTTCTCCCTATGGTTTTTTATCTTGGGCTTATGGCATGGTGATCTCAGAGTACCAAGAAGGCAAAGGTAGAAGCCTGGGCTCAAGAACTGACAGAACATTGCTTTCACCATATTACTTTGGTCAGAGCAAATCACAAGGCTGGCCCAGATTTGAAGCATGAGGAAATAGGATCCTAATCTTGATGGGAAGAGCTGTAAAATATGGCCCCATTTTAAGTCTGCCATAATGTATTCAGAACATTCGTACTACAAGCATTAGTTAACAAGCACCTTTTAAGTTGCCCATCATTTG